TTTCTTTCTTTCTTTCTTTCTTTCTTTCTTTCTTTCTTTCTTTCTTTGAGAGAGAGAATGAGATAGAGCATGAGAGAGGGGAGGGTCAGAGGTAGAAGCAGACTCCCTGCTGAGCAGGGAGCCCGATGTGGGACTCGATCCCGGGACTCTAGGATCATGACCTGAGCCGAAGGCAGTCACTTAACCAACTGAGCCACCCAGGCGCCCCTAGATGTGTTCTTAATTGCCTATCCAGACCCTTTTAGCCAAGCAGGACATTAATGATTTTTTTTCCTCCTTATTTTCTTTTAAATGCATAGCTGTTATCATCAGTGACTATTTATTTCAAGTTCTTTAAGGCATATTCAAGAAGATTGGAATACATTCACCAACATCAGCATCAAAAGTCTGTTCCTGGGTTACCCATCTTGGGCAATGGCATTTACTACAATTAGAACTTTGGGCTCCTCTCTTTGCCTCTTGCCCAACTCAGACTCACGCACCAAATCCTCTTGAGTGCTCCACCAGTGTTACTCAATGGGTCTTTTTTCATTTTCACATTTCCAAGCATCCCCTCTCTCTGCGGTCATCTCCTACCAGTTTGTCCACACCAGCATGTTTCAGCTTTACCCAGCCAGAGTGATCTTCCTGACACTCAAATCTGATTCCCCTCATTTGTTTAAAAACAGGATAAATCCAACAAATATACATGAAAAGAGCCAGCTGTATTTTGCAAATTATGTTGGGTACTAGTCATACAAAGATAAATAGGAGCTAGACTTGTACCTAGTTATTAAGGGATAAAGGCCAGACTTGTTAGCATCACAGCCTAGCAGCCAGTGACCTGACCAGTCTGACGTCCTGCCATACCCTTACCTGTCTCCTGACATCCAGTCAAGATGGACTCCTGAGAACACACTCACCTTGACTCTACCTTGTTTTGCCTGTTCTTTATGACAAAATCTTACACTTCTTTCAGTGCAAATTCAGTGTCATGTGCGATGTGAAGCTTTTCTCAATGTTTATCTCTCTTCTAACACCATAGGGTATAAAGCTAACTGCTCCCTTGACTGCTATCTCTGAGCAGTCAGTTTGTACCAGTAATATAGCACATAGAAACTCTGATAGCTGATTGTCTCCATGTCTCTCTTCTTGGCTTTTTTATGGTGGTCATCATGTAGCAGAGACCCTGGGTCAGTCACCTTGATACCCTGCATATTCTCTTACAAATAGGCACTGCAATGCTCAAGTCTGAGAGGAAGCCAACAAGCAAAGGTGCTCAGGCCTTTTTTTCTCTTTTTTGGATGAATTGGTAGTATTTTCTCAAGGCAAAAGTTCAACTTATTTTTTGCATCTTAGAGTTGTACTGTACTTCCGGGCCTCAGTGAAAACAGCTTGGAGGCAGCATAGGATCCTAGAAAGAGGGTCGGATTTGGAGTCAGAGAACCTGGGTTTAGTCCACACTAGCTCTATGAATTTGAGCAAGTCTTAGAAACTCCACGAGGCTTAGCCTCCTCCACTATAAATTAAGAGTATTTACAACCTACCAGGTTGTTTTGAGGACTATGTGAAATTATACATATAAGAAGCTGAAAGCATTTTATAATGATAGAGCACTATAAATGTCAGTGTTATTTTTATTATGGTTTTTTATATGTAAATGAAGACAGTTTTACATAAAATGCTTCTATTTTGGAAATACTCCGGCTGGCATTTATTGCTTTGCCTGGTCATGCCCTGCTTCCCCAGGAGTGCTACTAGGAGGGGTGGCCTGACTCCATAAAAAAATGGGCTGTTTGGGACATCTAGAGCCACTACTTCTCTAGCCAGTGGGGAAGTCAGTAATCTGTATAATGGAATCAATAATATCCACCTTCCTAAGCAAGACCGTTTTGAGAATTATAAGAAATAACACGCGAATGGCTGGTACTAAGTAGGTCCTCAATATATGTTATATTCCCTCCAATCTCCATTTACGTGTTGGTCTTGCCCATCAAACCAGTTCCATTCCTGATCATCCTTATGTTCCATTTCCCGTATTGCTCCTGACCGCTGAATGGTGCTGGAGAAAAAAGACCAGACCATACGGATAAGAGCCACGCTTGCCCGCTTCTCCTCTCCTTCCTCTCCTCTCGTCTGTGCCCTCTTAGCCCTTGCTCTCCTCCCCTTCTCCTCTCCCATTCCCTTTCTCCTGCCCCACCCCCATCTCCCTCCTCTCCTTCCTCTTCATCTTCTTTCATAAACTTCACTCCTATGCTGAGCAGCAGTCCTGGCATCCTCTCTCTCACTTCCAATCCTGCAAAAATTAAGTACTTTTCCACATCATGGCAAAGCAGAGCCTCCGTTTGGGCAGCACTTGGCAACCCCTCGCCGTGTGTCTGCCTGCAAGATTGTGCCGGCACAGGGTAGGAGAGGACCTTCCTGACAAAACACCCTCTCGCTTCCTAATGGAAGAGTTTTTTGGTTACGAAATACTGATGGAAGATTGTTTCTGTCTGTAGAAAAGTTCTCTTCCAGGGTCTCAGGGTTGAAGGGAAGGTCTTAAAGACCTGAGATATTCCTTTTGATTTCCCGTGTCTGCACGGTAACTCTCTCAAATAGTAACAATAGCCATGGCAGCACATGGCCTCAGAACATGAGGATGGGGAGAATGGAGGTTGGTAGATAACTGAGTTATTCACAGACCTGCAATTTATGATACCCTGCGGCATCTGTGGGGCCTTAGAGCTTCCTCCCAGCTCTTTGGTTCTGGTAGAACCTCCAGGAGCATAGGAGGCTGGGGAACTAGTAACAAGGCTTTGCTGTGTGTTTTGAAAGAAAACAGGTCTGGTTTCTCTTTTAAGCTGAGTAAATGTCAGATGACACTGCTTAGCTGCTTCAGAAATAGATTTCTCTATGCTATATGTAAGTGATGAATCACTAAATTCTACTCCTGAAACTAATATTATACTATATGTTAACTAACTAGAATTTAAATAAAAACTTGAAACATTAAAAAAAAGATTTCTCTGTGTGGTGCTCAGGTTTCTGGCACACTACACTCAGGTATGGCAGCCCATTACTGGGGCATATTTGAAAGTGCTTTATGCTTATATAACTAAATTGGGTTTTCGCATGGTCTTTTCAGAAGGCTGAGGTTTTCAAAGGCTCTATTGAGTCACCATCCTTGGGAAATGTTAGAGTTTATTTGTTTCCTAGCAGATTTCAGAGTCCTTAGAGAATAGGAAATGAGAGAGAGAAGTTTTGTGCATGGGGAAAGTGATGTGGAAACCATCAGGTATGGGCTTGGGAAGACAGACATAGACAGCATGCTGCATTGGGGTCTTGATTTCCAGATGGTAAAGGATGTGTGAAAAGCTGAAAGTATCCTTACCTTCACCTTCTGTACAGTTTAACTTCCAGTAGCTCTGGATAGACCTTGATTGTGGCTGTGGACTCTTAGCCCAAGGATTGGCCTAATCTATACCTCAGCTTATTTTATTTGTTCTTTCTGTTCTGTACAGATTCATGAAGGTGGCAGGAAGCACAGTGGATGCAGTTACCTGGCAACAGTAGGTATTCACCATTTTTGCTCTTATTATAGCTACTGCGAAATGAAAGATAATTAGCTGTTATGAACATTATAGCTGACATCTAATAAGCTACTCTTTATCCTCGAAGAGAAAAAGTCAAAACTAACTCCAAAGCTGTTCTTGTGGTGCATACTATCTCATAGTAATATAATTTTGTTTTGTTGTTTAAATAAAACCCAAAACAAAACAAAAAAACCCGAAAGCTCAGCTATTATGTATACTTTTAAATTAACCTGTCATCAGTGAACAGGTAATGGGAATATGAGCATGCCATCACTTACCCATAAGTTTTCCTTGGGAATAAATTTCCTTAAGAGAGGAAATAGTTTTAATTACTCAATGTGTCATGTGAAAATAACACTTTATTATAGTAATGGCAGTGGTCTTAATTAGTGCCGAGAGTGTTACTAATATGAAGCAATTAAAAAAAAAGGAATATGAAGGGAATGAAGCAGCCTCAAGAGAAGATAAACCCTAGTATTCCAGGAAGAAGCTTATAGTGGCAAAGACCTGTTAACCTAAGGGTAGCTTGATTTGTAAAGATAATTATCTGATACATAAATTAATTTTCTTTAGGTTTCCTTATGATATTGGTGTTGGAATGTGAGCATCTCACAATGTCTCACCAATTTTATGCCAGAATCTTGCCCTTCCTTTTTGTAAGAAATCTACCCCATAGCATCTTCTAAGTCGTCTTTCATGTAATGTGGTCCACACAGCTCAGACATGTGCTATTCTGGGCCCTCATAGCTGTCAAGTATGACCACCTCACTCAGTAACTCTAACCCTGCCTGCCTAGCACATTTACTTCTCTTCTCTGTCCTCCATTTTAAGTGGGTCACAGTATCCCTTGGGATTCATGACAGTTGTGAAAGAAGCAAGAGCAGTGGATGAAATCTTTATTAACTATCCCAAAAGGATTTTTGATTGTTGGCAATCAATAACTTAAATCATAATGGAAAATATTTTATTATGCATTTATACGTAGTTTCTCTAAGCATCATTTTAAATGTTTCCAGAAATTCTTACCCTTCCTCCTTCAGTTTGTTTTGTGAGTCATGGATGAGTAGGTCTAGAGATCTTGTCATTCCCATGCTTAAAACCCCTCAGTGCCTTCCCTTTGTACTTAGACAAAAGGCCAAACTCTACTCTGGCCTATAAGGAAGGTACTTTGTGTTTGGCCTCTGCTACTGTATGATCATTTCTAGTGCCACCCTGACCTTACTCATTCTGTCCCAACACACTAGTGGTCTTTTACTTTTTAGAAAATTCACGTGCATGTCTGCCTCAGGATCTTTGTAAGTGCTATTGTCCCTGCCTGGAATGCTGTTATCCTCATTTTTTGTGTGGCTAGTTCCTTCTCATCTCTAAAGACTCAGCTTACATGTTATCTCCTTTCAGAGGCCTTCCGTGCTGGTCCTATCTAACACAGACCCCCTTTTTAATTCTCTTTCTTAGCTCTTTTCTTTCCATGCTACTTTACATAACTTATCATTACTTTACCAAACTTATAATTATTTTTTTCTCTTAACTTGTCTTTGTAATTTGTGTGTTTTTCTCTTCCACCAGAATAGCACTTAGTTCAACAAGTACTTATTTAGGCAATTGTTTACTGAGCCTATAGTATGGGGGAAAATAACAGCAACGATGAAACTGTTTGCAGGAACTGTTGCAAACCTTGTCTGCCTTACTGTATCTGATGCTCACAACAACCAAATGAGTCTGGGACTAGTTTTATCTCTTGCATAACTTAAAGGAAGTTGTAGAAAATCCAAACATTACACAGAAAGTGGTAGATTTTGGACTTAAGGTTGAGTGTGTCTCACTCCAAGGGCTATTCTCTTAACTGTTAACTACTTTGATAATAAGACAATGATTTTTTGCTGAAAATATTACATTCTACTAGAGCAGTTCAAATCCTCTTCAGTGTCTTTCATCAAAGACTATCTGGATAATGTAACATAAAGGCTGATGCTTGAAGAATTCCTAGTGTTTGTAAGGAGAAATAAAGAGATCAGTGTATGAAAATTATTGGGTAAGAATGTAAGACTTGCTCAGTTATTATGACTGACAGGGCGAGATCAGAAAAAGTTTTTCTTCCATATTCAAGCACTCTCCATAGCACAAATGGAATGAAGTGAGCCCAGTCTTTTTTTATAATGGAGAAATAAGACTTTTATAAATATATTTTATTAGCTATTTTTAAAATATTGGCCACCTCTCAAGATAAATGTCATGTGTTTGCAACTACTCTAAAAATACCCCCCAAAGCAGGCAAGGGATTGTGTTTCTTTTCGCTCCAGGATCAGCACTCATTTGGGGACAACCAGTAGCACCTGGAATCTACCATTTATCCCTTCCAGCCACAGTTTTCAATCAAGACTTGGAATAGTCATGGAACAATTCCAGGAAATCCTGGCCAGGAGGATTCAGTGAAAATTAAAGCCAAATACCATGTTTCTCTAACCCTGAGAAATGCTGAGGTGAACTTAATGTAAAGAAATCAAGAGTCAAAGTCAGAAAAAAAAAGAACACAGTATTTGTCAGTAAATATCTATGTATAGGTAGCCAAAAGAATCAATTCAGTACAGGAATACTGAACTTGGAGCTTGAACAACAAGAACTCTGAGTCTGAAGTAAAAAATAAATAGGTCTATACAGTTAGACTACTTTGATTTGAAATTTCATGCTCTTGGGTTTTGAGGATCAACATACATGACTTAATGATTGGTTCTACCCAATCCATGCAGAAAACCCAGCAAGAGTTAGTGAGATGAAGTTCCAATTACAAGAGTAAGTAGTACAGTAGTTTGTATCAGTTATCAATGATAAATCTGGACCAAAAAAATAATACACACACACACACACTGGAGAATGACCAAAAAGTGGCAAAAGCTGGAGAAAGTTATTCAGTCCTTGAAAGAAGTGAATGATGCTAGTGAGAGCTGTGGTTACTTAAGAATCTATGCAGTATGATGTGGCTAGAACTCAAACAAAATACATGGTTGTATATTGGTTTGAGGTCTCAGAAGGAGTCAGAAGGTAGAAATCTCAGAAAGAAGGAGCTATGGGCAAAACACCAAATATGCACATAAACTTCCTTCAAATCCTTGCCTGATCCCTGCAATGTGCATATTCAAGGGAAACCCCAAGGAGCCTGGTAGAAAATAACAGCTGGAAATCTGAAAAAGTTGAACAGCAATTTCAGCTGCTGTCTGTCACATGAGGGACAGAGATTGGAACTTGAATTTCACAAATTTAGAGGGACTTCATAAACACCTTGTGCTTTCCAGTGAAAACTAAGAGTTATGCCTCAGGAGTAAAGTCTTATCCTGGGACTAAGGATTTGTCCTAAATCTAATATGTAACCAAAACAGATTCACCCTAACAAAGTATAAACGGAAGCTGCCACAAGAACAAGATGATCAGTCATTCATCCAACTTCCTGCTATATCCAAAACCAACAGTCTTCTGTCTCTATAAAATATTATCTACACTTTGAAGTACATAGTTAAAAAATTACTACCTATGCAGAGAAATAGGAAATTGTGACCCATGGCCAAAAGAATGAGCAGTAAGTAGAAACCCTGAGATGACCTAGGTAATAGAATTAGTTGACAAGAACTTTAAACAACTGTTGTAAATATATTCAAATAATTAAGGGAAAATGTTTGTACTGAGTGGATACATAGGGAAAGATCAGCAGTGAAATGGAAACAATATATATATAAAATAACCAAATGAAATTTTTAAAGAAAAAAAAGAAACTGAAATGAAAAACTCTCGGGGTGCACTTAAGAAATTGGAAACTATAGAAAAAAAGGGTTAGTGAACTTGCAAATAGATCATTAGAAATTATACAATTAAAGAACAGAGCAAAACTGCTAGGAAGAAAATGTTCAAAGTTTTAGCAACCTCATTGCTGATATCAAGATGTCTAACATTTGTATAATTAGAAATCAGAAGGGAAGAAAGATAATAAAGCAGAAATTTTTTTTTGAAGAAACTAAAGCTGAACTCCTCTCAAATATGATGAAAAACATTAAGTTATAGAACCAAGAACCTAAGAAACCCCTAAGAAGGATAGAGGCTCCTGGGTGGCACAGTCAGTTAAGCATCCGACTCTTGGTTTTGGCTCAGGTCACAATCTCAGGGTGCTGAGATCAAGCCCCGTGTTGGACTCTGCTCTCAGCACAGAGTCTGCTTGAGATGCTCGCTCTCTCTCTCTCTCTGTCTATCTCTCTCACAAAATCAATCAATCTATCTATCTATCTTAAAAAAAAAGAAAGAAAGAAAGAAGAAAGCCCTAAGAAAAATAAATACAAGGTAAATCACGCCTGGGTATATCATAATCAAACTGCTGAGAACAAAGGGTAAGAAAAAAGTCTTCAAAATATTCAGATAAAATCATACTTTACATACAGAGAACAAAGACAAATTTTGGCTAACTGGACATCAGAAGCAATGGAGAATAGAAGACAATGGAAGAAATCTTTAAAGTGCTAAAGCAATGGAGAATAAAAGACAATGGGTACTAAGGAGGGCATGTACCACATGGAGCACTGGGTGTTATACGAAAACAATGGATCCTGGATCACCACATCAAAAACTAATGATGTATTGTATGGTGACTAACATAACATAGTAAAATTAAAAAAAAAAAAAGACAACGGAACAACATCTTAAAATGCTAAAGAAAAAAAAAAAAGCCAGGATTCTATATCTAGCAAAAATATTCTTTAAAAATGAAAGTGAAATAAAGATGTTTTTAATAAATGAAAACCAGTAGACCTGTGCTACAAGAAATACTAAAACAATTTCTTCAGATAGAAAAGCAGTAGTAACACCTGAAGGAAAACCTGGGTTTCAAAAAATAATGAAACACGTTGGAAATGGTAAATTTGTAGATAAATACAAAAGACTATTTTTTCTCTTCACTTCTTAAAAACTGTGTAATGCAAACATACAACACTGTATTA